AATTCAAGCAGAGATATTCAATTAAAGAATATAATAAACATGGAGAATCTCAAAGTGCACCTATTGAACAGATTCCTGGAATGAGAGATGAATTGAAAGATGTTCTTAAAAATTACAGAAGAGAGGATATTTTTTTTAATTTTGAGGATTCAGGTCTTTATTGGAAGATGGAATCAACAGTCCCCATCAGGCTTAAAGTTAAATAAAGAAAGAGTAACAGTATTATTAACTTGCAATGCAACTGGTACTGAAAAGTTACTTCCTTTATTTATTCATAAATATGAAACCCTCGACCATTAAGAGGGATTAAAAAAGATACATTGCCTGTTGACTATTATTAGAATTATACATTAAGTCGAAATTAAAACCCCAAAATTGAAATGCTTCAACTTGAGGCAATTACATAGTAAAAATCAGTTTTGACCTTATTTCAACCCAGACCTGCAAATGGTCGAAATAGTTCCAACTTCATGTATAATTGGAATAGTAAAGTGTGGATGCAAGTTTCTATATGGAATGATCACTTAAAAAAACTGGGTGATAAAATGTGCACTGCAAATAGGAATATATTATTGCTTATTGATAATGCATCAACACATATTTAACGGATAATTTAAATTTAAGAAATGTAACAATTCATCACTTTCCTCCAAATAAAACTGCACACTTGCAACCATGTAATGCAGGGATAATTCTTTAAGGTCTGTATTACTATTTAAATTATTTATTAAATTATTTGTATCAAATATATTAAATTATTTATTTGTATTTATATTTACAGTCAAATTACTGGAAATTATTTATTGCAAGGAAGATTAAAATTTTTGATAAGAAACAAAATGGTTTAAATCCAAAAGAAATTGATATTATAAAGGCAATAAATTTTGTCTTGGAAGCCTGGAAAAAGGTTACATCAATCACTATTGATAATTGCTGGATAAAAACTGGTATTATTCCTTTTGATTATGAAGAACAAGTTGGAGATGCAACAACATTAATACAAAATATTGTAAGAGACAATGTTGATAATTTAATTGATAGATTAAATTTCAGTTCAGCATTAACAGCAGAGGAATATATATCAAATGATAATAATCAGAATAGTGAAATGCCAACTGAAGAGGAAATGAAGAGGAGGGAGGATGTTATTGTAAGTAGTACAAAGCTTTCTTTTTTTGTAAAGAAAAAAAATCAATTTTCTGTTGCACAATAAAATTTAATTTTTTTATATCTTGACCATTTGACATTTCCATTTTACAAGAAATAAACAAAAAATGGATTCAACAATTTCAGAAAAATATTTTAATGAAAATGAAAGATTATTGAATACAGAAGATTTTTATGATGTAAAAATATATATAGGTGTAGAGCCAAACATAAAGGAATTTCATGCACATGCATCCATCATATGTGCTCATTGTCCATTTTTCAGCATTGCATTAAGTAATTCAACAAAAGAAAATGGTTATTATATTGTTAAAAAAGCTAATATCAATGAACAACCTTTCAAAAATATTCTAAAGTAAGTTTATATTAAACTATTATTATATTAATTAGTAATTTATTGAATATATTATTTATTAATATTTGTTTTTAAAGATTTTTGTATACATGTAAAATTGAATTAGACAATTTTACTGGAGTTGATATGTTAGAAATATTAATTGCAGCAGGTGAACTTGATATTGAGTCACTTTATGAATATACAATGAATTACTTTATTGAAAAACATGAAGATTATATAAAAGAAAACCCAGTCAAAATTCTACAATTGATTTATTCTAATGAAAAATTTAAGGAATTAAAAAATATCTATTTAGAAAAATTTTGTATTTATAGTGAAAAATTATTTCAAACAAATGAATTTGAATCATTGGAAAAACCAATTCTATTGGAAATTCTCAAAAGAGATGATTTTTCTGTTAACGAGATAGTTATTTGGGAAAATGTTCTTAAATGGGGATTATCAAGACATCCAGAAATCAATAACAATGATCTTAAAAATTGGTCACCACAAAATTTTGTTGATTTAGGCAACACAATAAAAGAGTTTATTCCTCTAATAAGATTTCAGGATATTTCTAAAGATGATTTTTTTAATAAAATTGTACCCTATTGGAAACTTCTTACTGAGTTTTTCTGGGATGACCTATTACAATATTATTTAGTTCCTGATAGACAACATTCATTAAACTTATTGCCATCAAGAAATATAAAACTTCTTCCAAATCTTGAATCAATGACAATTAATAGAAAGCTTACATTGCTTTTTGCAAGTTGGATAGATGGAAAAAGTCCACCATATAATTCACACAGAGAAGTTAAATATGAATTTAAACTTTTATATTGCAGTAGTAGAGATGGTTTAGATTCTACAGTATTTCATGAAAAATGTGACAATATCAACAAAACCCTTGTAATTGGTAAAATTCAAAACTCTGATCAAATAATTGGTGGTTATAATCCACTTAATTGGGGTGGAAGTGGTTATAAAACAACAACTGAAAGTTTTATATTTAATATAAGTGATAGAAATAATATTGATACTGCACAATTTAGCTATGTTAAGAACGTTAAGAACATTAATAATAATGTATATGCAATTTATTGTGATCCTACTCATTTCCCTATTTTTGGTTATGGTTGGGATATTTATTTTTATATAGATGGTAATTTTTGTCATATTTCTAGTTATCCATATAGTTATAACAACATCTCGATAGCAAATAATAGTAAATTTGATGAATTAAAAGTTTTTCAAGTAATTGATAAAAAATAAATAAAGTTTACAAAACAATTATTTTACTAATATATGTATTATTGACAAAATTTTCAATTTAAATAAAAATATACAGTGTGTCCCAAGAAAAAAATTGCATATCTCAATAATTTATCATTTACTTTATTAAATAAATAAAAATTAATAAGAAATTCTATCCCTCTTTTTTCCTAAAATCAATTCACCCCCATTTCTCCCATAATCTTTTCAATTTGTCAACATTTTTGGCTTCGTTTTTTCAACATCATTTTCATGATGTCCAGAAATGTAAAATATAATTTCGCATCAATGGCAATGTAATATCACGTAAACATTTTTAATTTTCAATGATTAAAAGCTCGACTTATCAATAATTTATTTACAACATAAATAATTCATTCTTACCTACTATTAATATTACCAATGTCACATTTGTCAACTATATCTTAATTAATATTCACAATCACAACAATACAAACAATTTTTTTATTGACTAAAATAATGTCCTGTCACTTGGAATAGTTTAGGACCTTTATGAGGTCCCAGAGGTTTGTTATGATAAATTTACCCAAGGGCTTTTATATTATTATAAACTTTATAATATTAAATATTCTCTTTTTAACAATACAACCTAATTGTTATCATTATTAATATTAAAAAAAGAAATCACTTCTTCGTTTGTCACCAACCGCACAATTATTATTAAATAAGTTACTCTAGAAAAATAAAGAGACTGAAATGTAAGATTATTTAATGCTTTTGATACAAAACATGTTTTCCACCCGCAAGTTCATAAATTGCAATTATTTTAACCATGCAAAGTTTCTTGTCTCTAATATCCACATTTTTTCCAGTTGATTGTTTGTGTGTTGTGTGATTTGACGGTTGCAAGAGTCTTACTAACTTTAAAAAAATTCGTCTGAAGATGATTTAGATTTAAAAATATTTAGGCATAACTTATTATATACCAACAGTTATATTGTTGTTTTACAGTATCTATAAAAATTTTACTCTTAAAAGTCTGGAGTCTAGAATAGGTTTACCCTGCTTCCGGCTCATTGAAAAATTGTTTGAAAAAAAAAATATAAAATTGAATTAGCTAGAGATTTTAAATTATAACTATAATATTTTTTTATTTATAAAAAAAAAAGTTCACGAAACATATATTTTACTATGAAAATTCTAGTCTATATCAATAAGTTACAAGGTCGTTCATTCGCTAGCTCACTTTGCATAAACTTGTAATTTACTAATCAAAGTAATTACATTCGTAAAGAATGACAGTCCTATTTGCTGAATCACTGCGTAATTACAGATTGTCCAAAAAGTGGACATAGTTTTTGTAGAGTAATATTATATTACAAAGTATTGCTTATATTTACAGATCATTTATGATGTTTTTTTTCAACTTTATGACATTTCCAAAATAGAAATTGAAGACGCGAATGGAAGCAAATGAAGCAGATGGTGCAGACATTGGAGTTATAAAAGAAAGAGAGAATGAATAATTTATCATGTATAAGTTCCTTTAGAAATTAGCTTAAACCGACTTTTAAAGCGATTTTAAAGACCGATTTAAAACCAATTTAACTGTGTATGAAGTTATCACAGGTATCACATGTGATTAATTATATCGCATTCGCCGGTCAATTTTCTCAGGTGTCATTTAATTTACGCGTCAAATCAACCCATATGTTGTGTATGGATACAAAATTCTTATTTGTTAATTAGAATTTCACGCGCGTGAACTTAAAAAATTCAAATTCACGCATAACATTTACATGGAATTTGTATTGATGGTCAAGTTCAGCAACAAATTCAACGAAAATTCTTCTTTAACAGATATAATGCTTATTGGATCATCTTTTTTATATGGATTAACGATTTCAAATTAATGTTGTTTGGTAAAGTTGTTGTTGATAAGCATTTCTATGTTTGTTCTCAAAGTGATGTTTTATTGCTGATTTCAGTGTTTTTACCAACCTAACTTTAGAAAGTTCACATTGTGTGAAGAACATTGTCAAAACTATTCAAATATTTATAAATGCTATATTGTGTGGCCTTGATTTTTTAAATAACGTTGTTGAACTTGTTTCTGAAGATGGTGTTGGTTATAAGTTTGCCATTTTTAGAATAAATTCATTGCACGCGGATCTTTTGTGACTACTTCTACTTGCTTAAGAAATAAATAAATAAGTTCGTTTGATTTTAATTAAAAAGCGCCATTCTCATCATATTGATCATTTTTGCTTTGCATTTACAAAAATGGTAAATAATGATTTTTTTTTTATCCAAAAAAAGAAAATAATAATAATAATAATAATAATATCAATAAAATAAGCTCAGGATCTCTATTCAACCAAAGCAAGAAAGTGAAATCAAGTTTCTTGAAGTTTATCTTGTGGAAAGTTATTTTATTTTCACTCCTTCCACTTGTGCCTGCATCCATTGTTGACGAAGAGTATAGATCTGAAAAAGATACGTTTGATGCAATGCTTAATACATTTTTTCCAGTCTTTTTTGTCATTCTGTTCAATGTTTCAGGGAAAACTGGGCCCATCAAAAATGTACTGTTGCCATTACTGGATGACATATTATACAACACAGTCAGTCACTTGAGTGATTCCGCTGGTAATTTCTTTTGCCTATGATGATTTGTTGAGTATAAAGATATTTTCAATTGTGAACATGGGTTTGCATGTAATTTGCGTAGTAACCGCGATAAAAAAGCTTAGGAAAAAGCCATCTGATGTTTTTGGTTATATCGGTTTATTCTTGATATTTTACCGGCTATAGTCATTCCAACATTCTGGACTATTATTATTACAATTAGACATCTCTTCGATCCAATTAGTATAGTATTCCTTACATTATTTGGGATATTGTTAGTTACAGCATTCATTTATTTTGTCTTGCTATGTGTGGCTCGGAGAGATCAAAACAAGCATATGGTTTTATCCTACATGGTTTTATCGTATATTCTGCAAACACTATTGTTTGTGTTAAAATGGCCAATCGGTTTTTACTTTGTCAAAGCATACATGTTTATACCGGTTCTCTTTCTAATAAGAAATGTGTCCTTCTTTACAGGGAAAGAACCAGCACCTGGTGACTTTCCAACCATTTCAACGACATTAAATCAATGTATACTGCGCTACATAATAGATAAAAGGCTAAAGTGTGATGACAATTAAATAATAGATGAAATAATCAAGGAGCTGCAAAAATCAATAGCAGAAATGAAAAAATCAATAATTGCTGAAATGATAGATAAAATGGAAAAATCAAGATATCTTTGAGCAAGTATATAAGCCACAATAATAATGATGGGTGACTTTGTTGAAAAGACTATTTATTGCTGGGTGGATAACAAGATTAGAATTTAAATAAAACAAAGAAAAAAAAAAGAAGTTTTACCGCGATTATAAAAGCCAGCCTATTATTTATTATTTATTATCCAGAAAAATTCTATAATACCATAAATCAGGTGATTTTCATTGCCCTCCTAAATATTATGGCAAATAACTTGCTTGGACTAGTAATTATTGAGGGACTGATTTATATATCTAAAAGCCAAAAGTAAATAAAAATAAAGGTGATTTTTGATTAAGAATCGGCATACGTATTCTTATTATCCTTCTAGCCCACATTGGATTTCCATGATATGAGACTTGTAGGTTGAATAGTCCCGCTTGTATTAGATATATAGTACATGTGTGGTGCAACTAACTGTGATATGATGTTTCCCCATAAACTTCCCGAGCATGATAATGCTTTTTCATAGCGTAATTAATTATTTGTTGATTGACTTTGTTCTTAATGACAATGTGTGGCGGTGGTTTCGGCCAAAGCTTCGATATTTCGGCTAGGTTTTGAATGTTCAGATAATAAAAACAGTAAAAGAATGAGTAAGTGGTTTTTGAAAAATAATTTTCACACGTAAAACTCACTGGAAGAAAGTATCCGAGCGCATTTCTTGATTATTCCGCAAAGTTTGGATAACAAAAAAAATCAGTTAAAAAACAAACGCAATATAAATTTAATATTCATATTTCTATTCTTCTTGGTATGCTTAAATATGTTTTCTTTGAGAATCTTTGACTGCTTCGTCAAGAAAACAGGTTTCAAATATTCTACATATAATTTTCATAGTTTTCGTGTATTAATACGTGTATGTTTTTAAATATATTCTATTACTATACATATTATTCTATACATATATTTATGTATACTGTATATATGATTTATGATTTATGATAAGTACATCGAAAAAACGATAAAAACAATTATTATTATTACACGGGATCACGTATAATTCGCATACAGTGAAAGTCACTTTGTCTCTGAACTTTTTATTAGACATGTAGATAGATCCTTTAATTACTCCAAAATGGGAGCGGACGTTACTTTCATCTGATCGTGATAACCCTATGAATATAACGGAAATTCTCTAATGCTAAATTCACCATGATTATCATCGGTTAAATCTCTCCGGGACGAGGTAATATCCTATCTTGTACAACTTCCACTTCTTCTTTATATTATTTTTAACGATGCAGTACTGTTACACTGTTTATTATATATTATTATTGTTATTATACAAATATTTAGTTCTATTTAACATGTAACTACCCCCGTAATCGCCTGTTCCTTCCAATTAGTCTGATTATTGATTTCAATATTCAGTACTAATTTTCTTTAGGAACAAACTGACAAAATGTCAGTACTGCTACTACCACTACAAAAGTCTCTCCAGTTGTTACCATATTTTTATAACATTCAATATCCATTATTATTGTTATTATTATAATTATTTTTTATGGTATTGTTATTATTGTTGTTCTTGTTACTGTATTTGTTCTTTTTAATTTTATTAGCACATATATTTTTTTTGTTCTTATTTAATTGTTAGTTCACATCTTTTTAACCAAATTTCTTTGTGTATTTTTTTGATATTATACATTATGTCACAAATTATACTGCTTGTTTTTCTATCACTTTTTGTAATGTTTGTTATAGTATAAGATTTTGTGTATGATTCCTTTTATTAAATCAATGAATGTTATTTTATCTTTTTTTTTTTTCAGTGTCCACATATTTTTAAATTCTTTACTTTGCAAGTTGTTTACCTTGTTTGATTTATCATTATTATCCCTTCTTCTTTATATATATCCAAAAAAAATAATTTCATTTATTTGATTTGTCACGTTGCCATGAGGAAATTAAACCTCAAAGTTGCACAAATTTACTATGTTAACCCAAAATTGGCTAAAAATGAATGAAAAATTTTCCATCATATGTACAAACATCTTTTAAAACCAAAACAATAACAATCTAATTTTTATGCATGCATTCTCATGTGACCATATAATTTTTATTGTCTTGGTGTTGCGAGAATTATAGGTGAATACCGCGAATATTCTTTACATGTTAATGTGAATTCTGTGCAGTTGTGAGCAACATATGTATAATAATGATGTCGTCTCATCTGATGAAATAGGGAAATTGGATAAAATATAACCTCTTGTATATATATATATATATATACAGAATTTATGCTTATTATATGCAAATGCATGTATGTATATCACATTCAAACTATAATGATATTATATACTAATGCGTGTATAGATGGTATTGGTTTTCTTCTTTCAAAGAAAATTCCGAATTCGTTGTATTTTTGGGAAACTGCTTCCTTTTTTTTCCAAATGCCTTCAAGTTCTGCACGATTTGGCGTTCGAGAAAGCCCAAAATATTTGCCTGCTGTTTCTACCAAAATTGAACTTCAATCTCTTCAATTTTAACAATAACATTTTAATTACTTGTCTTTAAACGTGCCGGAATTGTGATAATTTATACATAAGCTGGTTCTTGAAAACTTAGTATTGAAAAATCGAATAAATTTTGTGCAACATTTCACGATTTTAATTTGCAATTTAATTTAAATGAAAAATTGCAAGAAACATTAAATTTTGAATGCATAAGAAGTAAGAACCTAGGCTGCAAAATGATGTGCTTGTTTTGTTATTATTGTGCAAATCTTACGGAATAATCGACAGCTACGTCCGGTAATTTCTTCCAAGGAGTGTATATATAGTCTTATTTAAAAAAATAAATTACTATAATAATAATTTGTTGTTGGTGAAGACGGGAGATATTATAGTGATGGGAGTTGAATCTTCTAAACTAGAAATGCAACGAACGAAACATATTAATACTAATGAAAATACCACGTATTTCTGGAAAGTTCATTTTATATTTACTTTTATTAATATTAATAAATAAACAGGAAGAAAATCAACCCAAAATTAGATTTAGTTTCGTGTTTCATGTGTAATATAAAAAAAGAAATTATTTGTTTTTGTTTATTTTCGAAATTTCTCGTTGTCGAATATTATTATTTATATTTAGTGATTAATTAATCACTAATCATTAACTCGATTCTTGGCCGTATAAATATAAATATATAATAAACAATTTCGTATTTTCATTTTTTTTTAATTATTTGATCAATATTTTTTTTTTCGAGTTGAATTAATTTCCTTTTGAATTTTTTTTTTAAAACGAATTATTTTTTCTTTATTATTATTACTTTTACTTTTTCTTTTCCATACAAACGACACAAATCACATTCTCTCTCAAGCCTAATCTACAAACTTGTACAAATGGGAAAAGTTATTGAACAAAGTATAAGTGAATTTCTTGAATCAAAATTTGATGGATTCAAAATTCAAAAATTTTCCGATAAAGATCTTGAAAATTTCAGTTTTAACAATTCAAAAATATACGGAAACGTTGAAATTGCCACATTAAAGAAAAATAATTCTACCGTCGTGTTAAAACCAATCAATGTTGCCAATATTCGTTTAGAAGTTGATGAGGTAAATAAGGAAAAAAAAAATAATCTGGGGGTTTTTTTTTTATGGTTTTTTGCACCACATTTTTAAAATATATATGGTTTTCGTCAGATTAAATTAATGTGGGAGGCAGGTTCCGATAAATCCACATTAAAATTACACGGTGTTTATAAAGGTATTAATTAATTAATTAATTAATTACGTTGTATCTTTGCTAAAACTTACAAAATATTACACGTATAACGATAACAATAATAGATGCAAGTAAAGATGAATATTATCTCGTATTGGAATATATTAATTGTGTGACCCTTACTCAATACTTGCAAAATAATTTTAAAACTTTGGATTGGAATAAAAAAATTAAAATCGCATTAGACATTTCAAACGCATTATTATTCTTACACGAACATAACATTTTTCATAAAAATTTGGTAATAAATTAAAACAAATGTTTATTATTAAATTTTTTTTTTCTGAATTAAATAAATAACACGCTCTCTCTTTTTTTTCAACATATACATAGAGTTCGGATAGTATCTTATATTATCGTGATACTATTAAATTAATCAATTTCGGAATATTCAACTTTAGAACGTTGACCAAAAAACGTTCTTTCTTGCAAAAAATCATGAAAAATAATGATGATAGTGAATCGATCATGCGTCCAAAAGAATATGATGTTTGCTCTTTAGGGTCTGTTTTGTTCCAACTTACTCAAGCTCTTGAAAATTATAATGGAGATTGGGATAAATATTTGAAAAATCTTTCGTTAGAACAAAGAGTTAATGCAATGAGCAATGTTCCAAGTGAATATCAAGATCTTAGAAATCTTTGCAACTGTATGTATTTTTTTCTTTTGTTTTTTTGAATGGATTCCTGTATAATGTCAATTGTCATCATCTTAATTGTTATTGTTATTGTTATAAATAGCTTGTTGGAACAAAAATCCAAACAATCGACCAAATATTCATCAAGTCACTAAATCTTTACAACAATTAAATAACAAGTATAATCCACCTACACCTACATCCACATCTACATCGACTTATCAAACAATGAACAAAATATTATCAACACTAACAACAACAAATCCAACCACTACTACACCATCTAAATCACCAATCACACCAGTTAAAACAACCATCCCGCCAACCAAACAACCTACCACCACCACTACTACACCATCTAAATTATTTAACACTCCCACCACCACCACCACCACCACAACAACAACAACAACATCAAAAACACCAGTTAAACCAACCAACAATACTTCAGCATCAACATCGTCATCCGCATCAGCTTTAACGTCAACATCACCATCCACGTCGGCTTCGACATCAGCTTCAGCATTAACAACATCCACGTCAGCTTCGACATCAGCTTCGACATCTGCTACAACAACATCCACGTCAGCTTCGACATCAGCTTCATACTTGTCTTCAGTCATAATGGCCAGTCAGCTTATCTCTATTCTGCGTGATTCATCATTATATACAACACCGCAAAATACTGTTCCAGTAACCCAAGAATATATCACTAAATTTTATAAGACAATTTACGACAAGGTCGTAAAATGTGAAATGGACATTTCGAAAGTTAATGATGTTTATATATTAGATTATTTGAAACAAACAAGTCAAAGTGAATTTAAAGTTTTTGAGTTCGTTAACACAAATCAATCCAAAACAATCAATAAGGTTATGTTGGCATTGTTTCATCAACTCGCAATTGGAACCGCATGCAATGTACCAAAGGCATTCGAATTGTACACAGAGTTAGCACCAAAAAATGGCTTCTCAGCGTATACAGCGGGTTTATACAAGCAATATGGTCAAGGAATCCCAAAAAATGCCACTGAAGCTTTTAACTTTTTCAAATTGGCTGGTGAAGGTGGCTTTGTACCAGCTTATAATAAATTAGGGTTATGTTATGATATGGGAACAGGTGTTGAGGTAGATAAAGAAAAGGCCTTCCAATGGATTGAAAAATCGGCATTAGCAGATGATAAATATGGTCAATACAATTTAGGATTATATTATGAAACTGGTAACGGATGTGAAAAAGATTTAACCCAAGCATTCGTATGGTATGTGAAAGCTGGCGAGCAAGGATTTATCACAGCATTGAATAAAGTGGGAATTTGTTATAAAAATGGAGTGGGAACAACGGCAGACCTGTCCAAAGCATTCGAATGGTTCAAAAAAGCGGCCGAGGCAGGATGTAAATATGGACAAGTTAATTTGGGAAATGCTTATGAGTTGGGATGGGGAGTTACCAAAGATGAGGACGAAGCTTTTAAATGGTTCGGCAAATCTGCTAATAATGATAATTATGATTTGGGACAATTTTATTACGCAAGATGTTTCGAAGTAGGTATTGGAACTCCTAAAAACATGAACAAAGCTTTGGAATGGTATAAGAAAAGTGCTGATAACGGAAACAATATGGCGAGATTTGCTTTGTTGGACTTGACCGGAATGGCGGCACTTCTTATTCAATAGTGGCTTGTATATAATACCTTCTACCCTTTTCTTTAATTAATATGTTTAGTATTTATTAATATATATTATATTTGTATTTATTATTATATCGATTTAGTATATTCATTTATTTAATCATATTTATTATTACACTCATTTTGAATATTTATGTAATTATTTGTATCATTTTGTAAACATTTGGTTTTTTAAAGAGCTTCTTCTAGAGAAATTCAAAAGGAAATTGTTTTTTTTTTGTTATTATATTTATTTATATTTATTTTACATATTTATTTTATATTTATTATATATATATATATATTATATTTATATTACAAATTTATTTGAAATAAAGAAGAAAATAATAATAAATATTTTGCTCAAGTTTTCTATTATTAGATGTCTATTGTTGCACCGCATATAAATATCAATATCACCTAAAACAGCCAATTAATAAAATTATTTATTTCTCTTCCATAAAAAATTTTTAATAATGGATGACTTTCGTCGTTTTCGTGAACAAAATAACAGTAGTTCAAGAAATGAACTTTTTGCAGGTGCAACAAATAACAATAACCAAGGCGGTTATGGTTATGGTCAAGGAGGAGGAGGGTATCCAAGACCTGGTGATTATTATGGTCAACAACAACAACAACAACAAGAAGGTGAAACAGAGGAAGATGTTGAAGAAATTAAATCACAAATTCATTCGGTAAAAGAAGATTCGGTTAGTTCTACTCAACGATCTTTGCGATTGCTTCAAGAGGCTCAAAATAGTGGAGAAAAAACTTTAAATAAGCTTGGTGAACAAACACGTGAGCACCCTTATATTTTTATTTGGTTTTATATTTATTTATTTATATATTTATATATATACTTATTTATCAATCTATTAATCAATTAGAACGTATTAACTATACTGAAAATCAATTGGAACTTGCTGAAATACATGCTGAAAAAGCTGCCGATAACGCTAACAAATTGAAAAAAGCAAGTTTTAAAATAATTTAATAAATTGAAAAAAAAAGCAAGTTTTTAAATACTTACATATTTACAATTTTAATATATACGTGTACATATATTATATAGGTTAACGGCTCAATGTTTGGTTTTGATTTTAATAACCCATTTACCAAGAAGAAACGTGAAGCTGAACAATTAGCTCGTATTCAAGCATTACAAGAAGACCAAAGAGATAGCCGTGAACAAATGAGGAGTGGAAATTGGGAATCGAAAAAAAATATCGAAAATGCATTGAAACAAGCCAGTAACAATAATACCATGTCATCTCATTATCAACCTGGGAAATCAACTAATCGATCAAAATATCAATTTGAAGCTGATGAGGAAGATGATAGATTAGAAGATCAGATAGACAAAAATTTGGATAGTCTTGCAGCGGGTTTAGGAACTTTACAAGCTATGGTTTGTATATCATTATCATTATCATCGTTATATATTGGAGAGATATATTATAAATGTTGTATTGTAAGATTTATTAAATTTTTTACTATTGTAATAATAAAATTATTATTGCTATTATTATTATTATTATTATTATTATTAGGCAATTGCTACTGGAGATGAAGTGAGAAGACAAAACCAAGTTATAGACCGTATTTCTGACAAAACTTCTGCTTTGGATAACCGTATTGTTGGAACTACTCATAAATTGAAAAAAATCGGATAATTATATTATATTTTGTTTTTTTTTTTTTTTAATATAATTAAATATATTTTATTAAATATATATTTAATATATATACACACCTTACTTATTTAAATATTTTGTACAACAATTAACTTTTTTTTGGAAAGAAAATTTTTGACGCGTCCAAAAAATTCAAAAAATTTCTATATATAAAAAAATTAATAAATAAAAAAAAATAATAAAAATTTGTCGTTTAATTTGATTTTTGATTTTTGAAAAAGTATATAATATAGATAGAAAGAAATAAAGAAATATAATTTAATATAATTTATAATAATAATAATTATTATTATATAATTGGCCGAAAGTAAATAAATAAATATTATGATTTGATTGAAGAATGCGTACAACTATCGCGTGCATATTATTTTTGATTGGATTTCCATCAAATAATTTTAAAGTTGGAAAAAAAAAAATAAAGATGCTAGCTAGCTAATAGGTAAAAAGCAAGAAAAAAAAAAGTGTAAGCAAAACTTATGTTTATTTATTTGCTGGTACTACCAATGTTTTTATCATCACACAAATATTTTAGACGCGACCTCCATACAGAATTATATATATGTATTTTTATATAAATAAAATATATTAGATATATATGTGTATATTACTACGAAACAAAACTAAAACTAAAAAATAAAAATTAATAACAAGTTCATTGTTGCTTTAGTAAATTCCACTTTCTCACCAACAAACAACCTTTTGCTACCATTCCCAAAAAACATCTGATTTAATATTTAATATTTCTTTATAAACAAACATACAGAATTTAAAAAAAAAACATTTATAATTTCATCTTTTAACATCATGCCTTCTAAAACTTCTAAATATGTGTATCAAGGTCATAGTAAAATAATTTCAGGCGTAATAACTGTTTTAGAAGCAGCCAACAGACCATTATCTTTACAGGAATTAGTAGACGAAATGACAAAAAGGCAATTGGTGGTTTTTCAGTAAATATATATGTTTTTTTTGAATTTAGCATTTTGACAATTCTCATCATATACGCGAGACACTATATTTATTTTAGAATATGTCATATTTAAACTATTTTATTTGTTACCCTTACTCTTTAGTGGTGCAACTCCAAGAAATACAGTCAGTGGTGAAATTAGTAAACTTCTTAATGCTGTGGGTCCAAGTAATGCTCCAATTCTTAAGATCAACCAAGGAAAACTTACCAAATTTTATTTAAGAACACAACAACAACATGAAGATTCTTTGTATGTTAATTTTTTTAAAATTAGTAATATAAATAACATCAATATTAAAAGATCAACTAAATTTATTAAATAACAATATATATATATATATATAGAAGACAGATTTCAGCTGGTAAAGCCAAAAAAAGATATTATGCGCGTAATAATCAAAATAATCAAGATAATCAACATACCTCGAAGGCTCTTGTAAGTTTATCAGAAAATCAAAATCAAAAAGAACGCGTCTATGATCTCAAAAAAATACGTCAGATGGAAGATCTAAAGTAATTATATAAGAAAAAAAAAAGATATTATATATATATATATATATATATATATATGAAATGTGTTTACTAAATCTCACACACACACACATATAAATATGTTTATTTTAATAATTATAGAGCTGCATATTTATTGTCTTGCTTGTCTATTCATTCCTTTTGGCTGAATTATAAAAACGAACCTGAGAAAGATTTTAATTATTTTTTGGAAGCTCATGTTGGTGAAACTTCTTTAATAGCGACAAATTCTTCTAATAATAGTAATAACAATAACTACAACTACAACAATAATAGTAATGAAACTAATGAGAATATTAAATTATGAAAATTGATTATTTCCTTTTTTTGATTTTAGATAATTTTTTTATAAATGATATCGATCATAATAGTAGTGATGATGACGATAATAATAATAATAGTGATAATAATAAATACATTAATATACATACATTACACACTTCAATTTATTAAACCCATAATAAATATAACCGTTTTTAATTTGTAGATATTAATTCTTTCTTCTTACTACCTATAATTAATATAATTAATAATAATTAATATATATGATTGATTTAAGAACGATTAATCCTGATAAGCAAATAATATGTTTTCTTTTTTATTTGTCAAAAATTTTTTCTCTGTAAATTTTTTTTTATTTCTCTTCTTTAATAAGTTTCTTTGTAATTTTTTCCCTTTAAACCCTCCCCCCCCCCAAAAATAGAATTTTTTTTTTTTTTAGAATTTTAAAATAATATTTAAATTTTTTTCTTTTTTTTTAAAAAGTAATATATATATAACATAGATTAATTAATTAAAAACCAAAATATATAAATATAGAACTAAAATATATATTAAAAATTAACTAATTAAAAAAAAGTATTCCTATTCTGAATTATTAGTATTACCGTTACCATGTTATTATGATTCTGTACGAACTTCACATCCAAACTGGTCTAATTATCATTATCATTATCACCATTATCATCATCGTCATCAATAACAACAATCGTTGATCCATTCAAATTCTTCCCACCGTCATTTGATTCAACAATCTTATCATCATTATTATCATCTTTATGATTGTTGATAGATATGCCACCAAGAACTCCTGGATCAATTTCCATTTTCATTTTTGGAAGGGTTGGTTCTTTTGAAGAATATGTTGACGACAATGTTGATGTTGAAGGTGTAGAAGATGTTGTTGGTATTGTTATAACATTTGGATTTATTATCGTTGACGTGGTCGAAGCATTGGTATTATTAGCGTTATTGACATCATAACCGTCACTTTTATTATCACCACCACCATCACCACTACTATTAGTAATTTTTTGCTCATTCTCAACACGTTTCATTAATTTTAATTGTTCAAGTATTGATTGTGTTAATGATGGTAGTGGTGGTGGTGGTGGTGGTTGCTGCTGTTGACCATAATTAGTTTTTTTAGGTTTAATTTGTCGTAATGAACGTAATGCTGACGATGATATAAGTTGTGGCGATGAGGATGAAGAAGCTAATGAAGATGGTAGTGGTGAAGATGGTGATGGTAAAGTGGATGTTGGCGAAGAAAAGAATAATGATGATGATGATAATGATGGTTTTATCGGTGCTGTGCTACTACTACCACCGCCGCTATAGTTACCAATATTCTCATTAAGAGAAATGATTGATTGAGGTGATGATGAGATTATTGGCAAAGACTAATTCAAAGATATGCGAAAATTATAATTAATATTATTAATCACCTTTTTTTTTTTTAAAAAAAAAATAAATGATTAATTAATTAACCAATAATTAATAATAGCAACAACAATAAATAATTTGCCTGATGATTCGGTTGATTAAAGTGTAAAGCAGCTTGTTGAGGAAATTCTCGTTCAACTTTCATTATTTTATCTTCCAACACTTTTAATCGTTCATAAACATCATGAGGAACACTTTTGACTAATATAATAATGTACATATTAAAAAATCAATAACTTTTCATTAATTAATTTGCATGTTAATTAATACATATATATTTAATACCGATTGGTCGTTTATTCAAATGTTTTTCAATATTTTGAAGCCTTTCCTCAACACCTATTGGTAAATCATTTCTTTCATTAGTTGAGGTAGTAAATGTTGTTGTTGTTGTTGATATATATTTAGCTAAAGGACCATCATCGTTGTCATTATTATTTACCACACCGAATTCATTACGATTAATTTCCACCGCTGTATCATCAGTTTTGGCTTCTAATTATGATTATGATTATGATTATGATTATGATTATATATGTATATATGCATATTAACGTAAAAAGTAAATTAAAAAAAAATTTTTTACCATCAGAAGAAACATTAAAATTATCAGAACTGGTAGAATTGTTTTGATCACTAGGATCGTTCATGTCTGGTTTTTTAAATTGAATAAATGATTCAATTCTTTTCTCAATCTCGGGGTTAGTTTCTTTACTAGTAGTCCGTACATCCTGTGGTTTAATCAATCTTTGAATTTTATTAGCGTCTACAATTAACAAAATTTCAAGCAAAATGAGAAATCAATATTATTATTACAATAATAATAATAATAATAATAACAATAATAATAATAATAATAATAATAATAATAATATAATTATGATGCAAACTTGAAAAATCTTCATCTTCTTTTTTCCTTTTAATCGTAGAGTTAACATTTTTACACTGTGATTTCCATTTCTAATAAACAATAAGAATAATAAATATTAACGCAAATATATATAATCATAATCACATATAAAAAAATCAAGCCTTTACATTTAATTCTTGTATTAGCCAATCTATATTTTTCATCAATAGTTTTTCTAGATCAGATGAAAATACTAATAATTCTGTTGTAAACATCATATTTGTCTCATTCATTCTAATCTACAAGAAAAAAAATTTTTTTATTTAATTAATTTAATAATAATACAAAAAAATAAATAATATATTTGTAATATTATTTACTTTTATAAAGAATTCTGAAAAAATTTCATGCCATTCTTTATTATTTTGTATTTTTTCCTCTATTTGCATTATTACATCTTCTACTTGCCGTGAATTTGAAATGTAACCGTTTTGATTTTTAAATTCTTCCATCAAAAATTTTATATTGACAGATTAGATTACAACTACCAATAACAATGCTTTGTTGATATCAAGGGTAGTGTGTGACATGTGATTTAACAAAAATTTTCAAAATATATTAATATTAATATTAACGTTTTCGTTTTAATAAAAAATGATTATTATCATTGCAACCTTTTTGAAGAAAGTTTGGCTAGCGGTTCACAATAGACAGAAGTTTTCGTTAAAATAAGCAATTTCCATTGATAATAAACAACGACAACAACAACAATAATAATAATAATAATAATAATAATAATAATAATAATAATAATAATAATAATTCAAAATCCCACATGATTCTTATTTACAAAGTCAACCTGGATTTAAAGGGACAATACATCATTATATTTTATAATAATATGATGAAACAATTACAACCAGACAAACTCCAAGTCTTGACGTCATACTTGTGTCTGATGTATCGTTAGTTTATCATGCTCGCTTCGGAACTGTTTCAAATTGTGGGACCGTCGGCCCCCCTCCGAATTACAAGAGGTCATTTAATATTAATTAACAAACCCGGCGAGGTTAAGAACTGATTTATGTCAATCAATGGTAATGGTAACAACGTGTTTCGAATAAACTTTATCAAAATTTTTTTTTATTTTATTTTTCTATTAAAAAATCAAAAAAATTAAAAAATCAAAAAAATTAAAAAAATTAAAAAATCATAGATTTAAAAGCTTTTAAACTTATAAAAATAACTTATTATCTTATCTTATATATATATATAAATTTTTGGCATATTGAAATCTTAAACGAAAAAATGTTATTATTATTATTATTATTTTTTTTTTTTTGATATAAGAATATAAATGTTCGATATTTTAATAAAATAAAATGTTCTATATTTTAATAAAATAAAATGTTCGATATGTTAATAAAATAAAATGTTCTATATTTTAATAAAATAAAATGTTCGATATTTAATAAAATAAAATGTTCTATATTTTAATAAAAATAAAATGTTCGATATTTTAATAAAATAAATGTTCGATATTTTAATAAATGTTTGATATTTTAATAAAATAAATGTTCGATATTTTAATAAGTTAATGTTTGGTCGATAAACAGTTCGTTGAACACTGTTTTTTCAATTTCTGTAAGCGCATCTTCGGTATTTACGCTTTCTTCGTTGTTGTTGTTGGTACTTTGTTCCGACGATGATGGTGAAGATGGCGCTAAGTTATTATTATCATTGTCATTATTTATTAAGGACTGATAATGATTACACAATATAATGATATGATAAAAATTACTAACCTTGATAGAAATTAATTTGTAGAGGTTGGTTTTTCCTCTTATTTTTAAATAATTCGTCAACAGACGAACAGATCCGTTGAAATTCTTTTTTTATCCCGTCATCCAAGATATCCCAAATTCTAGAAGAAATAAAAGAAATTTCTTCCCAAGTATATCTATAGTAAGCCAATAGCATCTGGACCGTTCGTCTAAAGATGATATAAGAACTAATTGACTTTTTCCCCCTACAAATTCGGTAAATGTCTCTTGCTCCGGGGGGAACCACTTTGTGCGTGCGGTTCCATTTTAAATTATTAATCCAACATACGTTATCAGCAATCTTAATCTCCAGGTAAAATTCCATTAAAGCAAGACGACTTGACTCAATCTTTTTATTTTTTCGTCTATTCATAATTCGATTTTATTTCAATCAAGTGCAGCATGTGTCTTTTTTATAACAAAAAAAAATATATAATTTTCCCTAATTTTAAAATATGCTAAATTTAGTCATGAAAAAGAAAAGGAGAGCGCGAGTGAACAAGCGATAAATAAATAATCAATGAGGGAAAAATAAAGAACAATTTGTTGCCACATTTCTTTCATTCCTATTATTTTTTGGTAGAAAGTATTTTCAATCGGAATATTAAAAAGACAAATCGTATTCTGTATTTTTTTCGGCGCATGTATGTATTATTATTAAGTGTTATACATTATTGGACATCGGAAATGATATGAGTAATGTCAAAAAAGGAATTTATTTTTATTTGAGGGTATTTTGTCATTAGTATGATTGTCTGAAAGAGCGTAATGATGTAATTAATTGATTTTCGATATTTTAATTTAATTTTCATTTTTAGGAATTATAGTAATCGTAAGTTTAACGATTGGATATTTTTAACAAAACTTCCGACGAAAAATAATATTACGCATTCTTCTTATATAATATATACTTGGTCGATTAATTAATTTGCACGGAATTTTTTCATGATTGGGAAAATTTGTACAATTGATGACATTTATCATAGTTCGTGTTTTTTTTTTGATTGGTGTTGTGCTTATTATTTGGTTGTTTTTGGAAATGGACATGAGAGATACAAAATTTATTTTTGTGTCCCGTAAAAACCGAATAATTAAATATGAGCACAAGAATTCATTACTCGAGCATTAATAATCAAGTTTTGTTTATCATTATTATTATTATTATACTCAAATCTGGAAATTTGGGCTGAAGTCTCGACCCATAAAAATAATACGGGGCTTTTCAATATACAAAGACCATAATCTAAAATGGGATTTTTGAGATTTGCGTTTCGCTATTGATTTTACTATGAAAAAGTGGGTACGACTCCCAACCCAAAAATACTCCAAGTGAAGGGTGTTGTTCGCCATATCTGTAATTAGTTCTTCATGATTGCCATATTTAACATATAGTTATTTTTATGTTCATTAATATAAAGAACATCGAGAATCCGTAATTCACTTTTCAATTATAACTTAAAATTGCTTTTTTCACATTATGGCCTTTTTTACCGAGGCGTTATTTATTTTTAACATGGTACAATCCATAAATGTAATTAAATTCAACACATCATTTTTTTTTAATAGATAAATTTCCTTTTACCCTACATTTCATAAAAACCTGTTTCCCTTTAACTCTTTACTTTTCTACCAATCTTCCCATTCTATATGGTGGGACAAAAACACTATAGAAATAGTCAAATAAGTGATTTCTATGGATATAATTTGACATAATAGACAACCAGGGAATTTAAATGAATAAGTTAGCGAGTAATAGGACCACAAATTAATAATATCAGTAACATCTTTTTGACACTTTAAATCTACCCATTTTATATCTACTTAAAAAGGGAATTTGGTTTTTGCGCATTGTGTGTAACTGTTCACTTCAAAAATTTTACTAATTGATTTATTTACCCAAAAGAACATAATAGCGACACTAAAAAAAACCTTTGTATCGATGTATTCATGGTAATTTTACCCTATCAATAATGGTGACATTTTTTCACTTTTCTATATGTTTTTTTACCCTGGGACCTCGATTAGAAGTTTCTGGAGTCCTGCAATAATAATGAATTAAAAGCTAACCCTCTCCCTGGATGAGATAATAATACAGGATTTTTTTCTGTTTTCAAAATCCTATTGATTCTGTCTAGAGAACCTTTGCCTAATTTTTTCAAGCCCAATCTGATATACTTGTGACTTAAAGCGAAGAAACTTCGCCATCTATGATTTGGTTTTTTTTTTGGTTGTTAAACGAAGTCAACTCCCCCCCCCCCCCCCCCGTTTATAAAAGCCATGCTCACAGCTTTATATTCCTAATTAATATGGTAAGTTTCAAATGTCAGTAACGATTTCGGAATGTTAGACTTCTAGCGATCAACAAATTGATTATGATAATGCAAAAATTTATACCATCTGAGATATACATTTGGATCAAAATTTAGACTTGAAAAATTTCATGTATATATATATACATGTCCCTTCGTTAATAACTTTAGGTCGAAACTATCATTCCAAATATGTTTTCTAAAATAGAATCAAAAAAATAAAATTTGTATATATTAATGTATAAAGCAACGATAATTTAATAGCACATTCTAGACCATCAGTGGAATAGTTTGAATTGACAAAATCACGTAATTCACAATTCGTGTCTAGCAAATAATCGTTTCCCTTTCATGAGCTTCTTCTGTACAGTATTTCATGATAGTATTGTGAGAACAATCAACATTTATTCACTTTGATTGAAGAAGACATAAAATAATTAATAAGCCTCTTCTCTCCTTCAAAAATTTTTTTGCTCTCTTAGTTCTTCTCTCAAAAGGTGGTTAGAAATAATGACCACTAATGATGATGTTAGTAAAGATAAAGGGTAAAGCATCATCTTTTGTCAGGTAGAAGATAATCCGTAATTAATACAAGCTTCATTAAATTCTTTTGAATATGCATTGATTTCCACCAATGAATGGTAGGTATTAAAAAACATAGAGTTCAGATCCTAATAATACAGACTAGTACAGAAAAGATACGGAAAACCAGCATGTTTTGTATTTATTTTCGACATTCTATATTATAGACCATTAGTATTATATATTAACAAATTACATCATTGAATAAAAACGTACTTAAATCAAAAACCTTTCAATATATGTTACACATATCCTGCCTGAACCTATTCCGTACCTCGCGTTAAAATTTAACTTTTCCAAATCTCATAAAAGTATGCTAATTCCGTATGTTATTCTTTATAGAGATTGTTGTCGCCATCGTCAGACAACTTTTACATAGATGCTTCCTTGTGGTGAATAAATATAGCAGATAGTTTTTCTCTCTTCAAAAACAATTGCAACAGAAACGCTTAATCACACACTCCAAGGCTTGCTTTAAGTAGTGATGTGTTATCAACACTCAAAAGCTCTTTTATTATAAATAAGGTTTGTCGATGCACCAAACTTTTGGTTATCTTTCAGAAACAATAAGTGATGTTGATGGTTTATCCCTTGTTTGAAGTTCAAATTAATTGGTTGATTACCGCCGAGAGAGACGATTTTTGTTAATGTTGATTGCGCAAAAACATACTTTGTACCATATGTAACTTAGGTTTTAGTAAATATTCATGTAAAATTTGATTTTATAACTTGAGCAATAAAAAAAAGGTTTTATTTATTAATTACTCAAAAATCTACATAACAACACAGTTTGAAATTTCTACATATAAAGTCTAGGTTTATTCACGCAATATAATTTACAATTTTTTTCGAGAAATATCTTTAATCATTATATCCTTAAATTGTGTTCATGAATGGTTATAAAAAAACGTGATTTATTAAATAATCGAGCTATTTTTTCAGCCGTAGAATTTTACGTGACAATATTCTTTCGTTTTTAAAAAAAGTATTCAGAAATTGTTTTATAATTTTCCTTCAAAATAAATTTAAAATGTAACAACTAGAGGTTGAACCCGTCTAAAAACCTTATCCGGGTCACCCGTCAAATAAACTTATTATTATTATTATTATTATTATTATTATTATTATTATTATTATTATTATTATTATTATTATTATTATTATTATT